TTGTGTAATGATTCATGGGAACAATTAGATTCTCATGTTCTCCTGGAGCTGTTTGTGATAACATGTTACCAGCAAATGCAAGTGAGAAACTTACAGCAAATAGCTATAAGGAAGGGAGGGACGGTGAAGGTAGGGAGGGAGAAATACATGATAGCTGCAATTTAATTACTTGTGAAACTAGACTATTTGGTGTATATAAAAAATGTGGACATTTGGGTTGGTGGTGAAAACCTTTCCTCAGCTTTCACATTCAATTATAATTTATAAAAATGCAAGTCCTTGTGTATGAGTTTTTTTTTTTCTATTTCGTTCCCCCAGAAGTTAGGGTACATGTAATGTTATATGGCAGTCAGATTTTAAAGGGTCGTGTGTTAAATATATACTGCTCAAGTACCTCATCTCATTTTTTTCAAGGCTGTCCTCAACACCTTTGTAATGAGACAGCTGCAGTTGTATCTGATGCTTCTGGTGTGGCCTTTCTGGTAAGAGGTGGAAGGTAGAAATTGGATCTCATGTTTCTCTAGACCTTGAAATGATTGGGCAGCGACATCCTTATTTTATCTCACAATTGTCTATGTAAGAATATAGTTAAATGTTGACTATCTAGACTAACCAGTAAAAGCATGCTAGGGAATGCATGGATAGTTAACAACAAACAAATATATGTTAGAAAATTTACCATATAAAAACTACAGTGAACCTCTCAGCTTTGTGTGCCAATACCTTTAACTATTTCCATAAATAATTTTGTTGTCAAGCTGTTTAGAATGAGAGTCAAATGGATTAGTTAGAGGGTTGGCACCTCTACTCTTTTCTCTCTCTTTCTGTTTTTTTTTTTTTAATAGTTGTTAACCAATAATTAAACACCTTCACCTGTAGAAGGAAGGAAAAAAATAACAAATCCTTTGACTAAGCTTAGATTAAATGAGAATCCAGAATATCTAACTGTAATATTAAAAATAGGAAGTATATACATTAGTAAAGAAAAATTCAGATGATAATTGAAAATAGTTAATAATTTATTTAATTTAGAATTACTGTTAGTTACCTTTAATTCTAATAGCATCAGCCCTGGAGTTAGACCACTTGAGTTCAAATTCTGCTTTTTGTTTTTACAAGGTGTGACTTTAGGCAAATTTTAATTTTTAAAAAAATAAATGTTTTTGTGCCTTAGTTTCCTTATCATAAAACAAGGACAATGACATTATCTAAATCCTAGAACTGTTCTGAGAACTAAATGAGGTTAATACATGTAGCAGTGCTCAGTGCAGTGACTAGTACTTTCTAAGCAACAGTAAATACTATTCATGCATCTTTTCAGCCATCTCTCCAACATCCATCCATCCATCCATCCATCCATCCATCCATCCATCCATCCAACTTTCCAGTGTTTTTAACAACATAAATTGATGATTTTGGAGGGACTTTCTTGCCATCGAATATGTGGAACTTTTAAGGTATGAGATGAATTTTACTGGCCAAGGGTGGGAGAAGAAGAGATAGCCCTGGAAAACCAAGTTAGGTACAGAAATCTAGGGGCTTTACTTTAAATCCTCTGGTTAAATATGATACTCTAAATTTATTTCTGCCTATTCATTTAATAATATTTAAGTAATTGGGCAAAAAAATATTTATTGAGTGTTTTCTTTATGCAAAGTATTGTACTAGGTACTTGTGGGAATACAGAGAAGCCAGGATTTTGTTCTTGCCCTTGAAAGTTTTGTACTCTGGTTGGGATTACTTTTAAGAAATACAGTGATATTACACTTTTTAAAAAGATTAAGTAAGATAGTATGCATTAAGTGTGGAATGAGTGACATAAAAACAAATTTTCAGAGCACTTATTAGGAGTGATTAGAAGAGGGGTGGATCATAGTTACTTGGAATTATCTCAATTCCTTTCCTAGTGATAAGAAAGGAGGATGAGGGAAGTAGGGGGAGGAAGGCAGAACAAAGGTGGGGTTGGGGGGGCAGCAATAAGTGAAGCCTGAGTCTATCAGTCTAGTTAGAATAGAAGGTTAAAGTGTAGAATACTAGAAGATAAATTTAGAAAGATTGGTTGATTCTGAATGGAGGGTCCCGAATGCCAGAGTCAGGAGTTTGAACTTTTTTTTGTCATCAGGGGAAAGCCACCAATGTTTCTTGATCAAAAGAGTGGTTTGATGAAGGGAATAGCAGTAAGACTGATTTGGAGGGGGAGAAAATGAAATTAAGGAAACCAATTTAGAGTCTGCTGTAAGAGTCTAGGTATGAAGTGTAATAAAGCCCTACTCAGGTGATTATGAGCATGGTAAGTAGGTGTGAGCAGAAGAAATTTTCTTAAGGAAGAATTGATGGAACTTAATGACAGTCTGACAGTGAGGAACAAGAATAAAAGAGGAGACAGATGCAGTGTCATGTTTTGAATTTGGATGATTCCGAGAATGATGCTTTTCTGGGTGTGAATGAATGAGGGAGGGTGTTGAAGAAAATAATGATGAAACTAATTTTAAGTTTGTTGAATATGACATAGCAGAGTACATCTTGGTATAAATGTCTAGCAGTCATTTGAGGACTGTTGTATTTCAGGAAGATGAGAGAGCGCTCAGTGTTGGGTATATAAATATAAAAATTATGA